AACATGTATATTGGAATATGATTTTTTTTTTTTTATATAAGTATCTCATCGTCTACTATCATAATCATCGCGATCGATCGGCGCAATATTTTATACTTGTGTAAGGTGTACATTTTGTTTACACGTGGAGTTGATCCATCAGGCATCATTATAACAACAACGATTTTTATTATTACAATTATTTATAGTTGATTGATTTACACATTAATTATTAAGCAGCCAGTGCCGTTTATTTTATATTTTTTTCATAGAGTGTAATATGTATCACTGCTGTTATCATATTTTATTAAATCTTTGCCATATAACACTCCCTTAGTCTCACGATTTCACCCTTCATTATCAATATGAGACGATTTTTCTTCTTGTCTCATCGCAATTCTTCTCCCGCTGCAATCCCCTTTTCACCTCCTCCTTTTCCTCATATAACTCTATATACCATGATCGTAATAAAATCGATCCTTGATATATATATATATATCGAGCTAACATACCGAGTTTTTTTTCTCACATCGTACTGCATTTGCTTTAATTTTTTCGCAACGAATTAATCAAAAGCAAAAATGAGCGGAAAAAGAAAAATAGAAAAAGAAAGATGGAATATTTACGGAGATAAATCATCGAAGAGATGAAAATTTTTTCCATACGAATATACGAAAAAAAAAAAAAAAAAAAAAAAGGAAATAATTCCCGGATACGCCGAAGAAATCGCATACGTTCTTTCGACCGCCGAGTGCGTGCAATATCGAGTGATTTCATGTTTCTCGCACGTCTTAAAGCAGCATACATCGAGACATATTGTTGCTTTGCAAACCTTGTAAATGCACTTGAGCACGCATATCCTCTCGCGAGCGCCTCGTACTCTTTTGCTCCCCTCGTGCGGAAACAAGAGCGAACAACGCCTCGCGCTTTGTTCGCCAATCCTCTGGGTATAATAAGGAGTATTTCGCGTCACGCAAACCCGGGGTGTTCTCTTCATTTTCCTGATTCTCTCAGAGATGTAACTTCTTCTTCTTCTATCTAGCGTGATGACAATTGATTTCTCGATATAGCGTTAATTCTATAACGAAGTACGCCGGTTCCGGAGCTTGCAGCCACCCTATATACACGAAATTTAGAAATTCGACTATTTAGAAATAAATCGTGTTCCGCTCGAGAATATGCCGCAAGATCCGGAATCATCGCTTCCTCTGTTACTTTCTTACATTAAATGTCGGTGACTTTTGTCCTAGCCGGAGGGACCGACTTCGGGCAAAAATCAACTGTCTGTTCACGTCGAGGGAAATAATAAAATAGATTATTTCACATAGCACACAGTTTAATAAACTGTAAACGAAAGCAATGAAAGAAAATAATGCTATTTTTATATGTTGCATCGTCTGCCGTGGTGACCTAGAGTTATACGAACTATATTTGAGTTCACTCCTTTACTGATTCCGTGTATCAATTTTGGGCCATTTCGTATCACATTTCTGGGCCATTTCTGTTTCCGTTTCAATTTTTCAACGCGATAGATCGTAGATATTGTGTATCTTGTTCGGATATTTACCGAAGGAATCGCAAAATTTCATTTTCAATCTGATTTCATGATTTCGTCGATGATATTTCGTTATACTTTGTAAATGAAATTAATAGAGTATCGTTTGAATAATGTCGTTAGAAATTGTGAGAAGCATTCTCATATAATTTGATGAAGAATGTCCCTATAATATTAATATCATCACATTAGCAGCTTAGAAATAAATGACAGAAATATTCTAAAGATGATCCAAAGGATGCTCTTGCTCACAATTGATCTAGATTACTACATTAAGATTTACTATTATTGTATTATTATTACTATATCTACATTCCTTTTAAAAATCTACCACTATTACTTTACAAAACCATCTGTAAATAAGTATTTTGTATTCCTGCAAGAATAAAATTACGAATCATTAATCGTGTATGTAATATTTCTACCATTATCATTAGAATCATGATAGTTTCAAACATAAATACAGGATTATGAATACACGTTATGTCTCGTAAAAAATTTTTATTCTTGAACATAGAAAAATTTTGTGTGCCACTGTTTCTCGTTATATTCTCCTGATACGAAATCAAAATTTCTGATAAAAAAAAGAAAAAAATAGATTCGACAAATAAATCTTCAATAATGTCGTTTTTAAACATAGAATGTTTTAAAATTCCTTCCTACTCCCTTTACAAGGTTTTAAATTCCACCGCTATCGTCAAGCGGTGCCTCGCGTCAAAACATTCACGTCAGATATCAGGGTATATTATATTTTATAAGGTCGTTATCCTAAAGATATAATATATAAAATCGAGAATGTAACATCTATATTTTTTACATTAAAGGTTAAAACACATTGTAGCTTTGAAAGAAAAATAATGAAAATATATTCTATTGTTCTATATCGCATTTATGGTTATGCGCTAAGAGGAAGAAAATATAAAATAAAAAGAACAAATAATAGAAAAAAGACAGAAAGAATAAGATAAAAATTCAGGAATCAGCACCATCTCTTGAGTATCTTGAGAAGAGATATCTTTAGAATTCAAAAGATGGCGCAGTTCGCATCTTATTTTTATCCTATCTTTCTCTTTAACTTGCTATTTTCTAATTTTGCATATATTATTTAATAATATAATACTCTTATATTTAGTTTAATCATAGTCTTTAAAATTTAGTAAAATTAAGTTTTAAATTTCCAACCATTATTAATGCTATAATTCTTTTCTATACTGAAACGATATGTTTCATTATATAATGCATATAATAGAAATATTTTGTATTTTAAATAATATTTTAAATTTAAATTCATTACTACTTAAATATACATAAAATAATTAAACATTTTTTTTTTGATTCTAGTTTATTTTTTTTTTTATTTTCACAAAATTTCACATTGGATATAAGATATATTTTATTTCTAATTATATAAAGAATTACATATGAAATATATTAATTTAAAATAATCATTATTTTCTAATTTCTAGTCAATATTTATAGTATGTAATAATATCATTCACGATTTTAATATTGACAATGAATAAAAATAAACTAGCTATCCAAATATATGTAAAAGTATTCAATCCTTTGAATTCCAATAAATAAGCAACTAATAACCAAACGCTTTGACTAAAGATCCAAATAAAACATAGAAATAGTGATCTATAAACGCTTAATCCAAACCGTGAAAGACATAATGGCAATAAAGATAAATACCAAAAAAAGTATTGCGATGTTAATACCGGATTATATGTTACTATTATCATGGCCTGTATAAACATTACAAATGGTAATAAAGATTTATTTGAATATTTATATGATAATAATAGTAGCAATATCAATTGCGGTGAAAACATTAAAATTTTTTCAATTATATTAGGCGGATAATTAGCAGATAAATATAACATGTAAAAATAAACAGAAAAATTATGTTTCGTATCTTTGCGTGTAATATGATAAATAAAACTTTCGTAAATATATTTATAACCATAGAAATAGTAATTAATAGTTGTTAAACAAATAATCAAGAAAATACAACTAATTACTAATTTTAACTGATTTTTGTTTGGTATAAAGTAATTTTTATCTTGAAGGGAAAAATATATAGGTATACTAAATACTATAGGATATAATCTAAAATGGATTGATAAAGCATGAAATAAACCTGTTAAAACGAATTTATCTTTTAAAAATAAATATAAAGTTAGCATAATTAAAAAGACTGTTACAGTGTCTGCATTTCCTCTGGTTGAAATTACGATCGTGAAAGGATTATAGAGCCATATAAAAGTACACGTATGTTGCTTATTAGAATTTTGTAAGATTAAGATTTTTTTTATCAAAACGGTTACCAAAATATCAACAAAAGAAAATAAGATTTTTCCAAAATTTTCATTTATGAAAATATTTGGTGTTAAAAGCAAAGCCAATAATGGCGTATAGCGATATGTATCTCGCTCAAATGGAGATGATCCTTCTATTATATAACGTGCAGCATCAGTAAATACCTTATAATCCACATCAGTGTACGGAACGTTGAAAGTTTTATCATGATAATTTGAATAAAAAACTAAAGTGACTCTAAGTAAGAAACCCAATATACAATGCGTCTTAAATGATAATTCATTCATTTTTAAGGTTTTAAATATATCTTTTAACATTAAATAAAATTCTACTTGTTTTTATAATCTTATATTATTTTTTGCAGCAGCTTTCATTAAACATGCCTTAAATTCCTTAAACTCATTTTTACAATCATCTTTTTGTAAGTTGGATTTTGCCAATACACATGCAGCATATTTAGCTCCAGATTCATGACATTGTGCAACAATAATAGGATACTTTTTAAATCGTTCTTTTGCCTTTTTTACTGCTTCCATTTTTAACTACATATCATATTATTTACTACATATCAATATATATATATATATATATGTATATATATATTAAATAAGTAAATATATAAATCTACTATTTATGAGCCATTACTTGTTAAAATATTAAATTTACTTTGATTTCTTTTTTGGTGGAAGTTTTGGTACTTGTGATGTTTGATATAAAGTCCATAAAAATAGACCTACTGCAAAAGCATTAACACCTCTGATTAAGTTAGTTTTTAAATTTTCGTTCATCATGATGAATCCTATTTTTGAGCTTTTCTCTGAAACAAAATCAAATAAATCGATAATCATTTTTCATAGTAAGATGATTATAAATATATATTATAGTAAGATATAGTAATATATAATATTATTTATATTATTTATTTAGTAAAATATAATATTATTTTTTATACATACATAATCTACAGTATTATGCTCGTATGGTTTAGAAATATCTATACCATCACAAACTATTGAAGAAGCAAAATATACGATGCAACACTGTCTTATTTCCTCTAGTACTTTCTCGCAACGTGATGGTTGATATACGTTATCTAAAATTAATCAACTTAAAAATATATATATATATTTAATATAATTATATATAAAGTAAAATTAGAAATAATAAATTTATCATAACCTCGAACAAAATTACACGAGTGATACCTTTTAAGCACTGCTGTAATTTACATGCAAACTTTTTACATGGATCAGTTGTCGTCATGCGAGAAAATGAAATATATTTGTAGATTTATAAACGTTCAATGAAGTAATTCTTATGTAATCTAATATTACAATTAGATCGATCGTATCGCTAATGGGAATAAAAAATATTTTAAAATTAAATTTTTCAATTATAAAATGCGCAAATATAACATTTTCATTGAAAATTTAAATATATATTAATAATAATGTATTAAATTTTTACCTTTCATATAATAAGCTTGCCACAAGACATATAAAAATTGCTTGAATAACCTTATAACTCACATATGTGAGTGTAACGATATTAGATAGATGGCACTCTAAACATACTGTGTTATAGCAGACCAAAAACTTTCATACAGGTATATACGTATAGTGTCATTTAACGAATGTGTTAGGTTAAATTATACAAGCTTTTTGTTAATAACAAAGGTATAACAATGTTGGGAAAGATCAAAACAAAACAAGAGAAAGGAGGTAAATAACAAAATATTAACTATTATTTTTTCATTTTATGATATATACAAACTTTTGGTATTTCTTATAGGTTATGTTTTTATTCAATAATATTGTATATAAATATAAAAGATATATAAATTTATATAAAAAAAAAGTCTTAAGATTTTAATTTCATTATTAAAAATAATGTAATTTTTTTATATTTTATATATATTTTATATATACTTTATAAATGAAATAATTTTAGATTTAAATTTTTTAATTATTTATTTTCATATTTCAAGATAAATATATTTTCTAATATTAAATTTTTTTTTAGAGATTATTGCATATAGTGAATCTGCTGTTGTAAATAATGCTGCAGTAGTAGAATATTGTAGGATATCAATGGCAGCATTATCAGGTGGCACAGCTGGTTTATTAGGATTAACTGGATTATATGGTTTTGGTTTTTACATATTTGCTGTATTTGGATTATGGGTAAGAATAATTTTTAAAAATATTATTATTTAATAAAAAATTGTTATTATTTAATATTATTATTCAATAAATAAAAAATATTTGCATAGGCAATGTTATTGTTAAAAGCTGGAGGTCAATGGAAAAAATATTTTATAAGTAGACGAAATCTTCTAACTAGTGGATTTTTTGGGGGCCTTTTTGTATCCTTTATAATGTAATAAAAAAAGACAATTAATCACTAAATATTTATAAAAATGCAAATATTTTCCTTAGCAAAACTTATACTCATACAATAGACATACGTGCTGTTTTGGACGTATCCTTTCTAAACTTATCGAACATTTTTCGAATATTATTATTTGAAATTAAAGAAAAAATTAATTTCATATATTTGTGAAATATTCTGTGTCAATGCTACATATTTTCCTTAATGTAATATTAGATTTTTATATGGAATGGTACATGTATACTGATTAAAAGAATATTTAGATTTAAGGGTTTATATTTTTTAACTAAATATATCGTTAACTAATTAAATATATCACAAATAATTGCCAGTTACTGGTCAGAGTAATAATATTGTTGATAAAGCACTATGTGATTTATTGTATATGTATGTACATAGAACATTTTCAAAAATACATTTATTTCATCTGTTCCATTTGTTTCTCATTGTTCATTATTGTACTATCCCTAGAATATAAGTATAATATAATAATTGTAAATATAATTAATTTATATTTATTTCTTTGTTTTTATAATATATGTATAATAAGTAACATGGTATATAAACAATGTAAACATAAAAAACATAAAATCGTAGGATGAATTGTCTGATATCATAACACTTTACTGAACACAATTTTTTTTTTAAATATTCGAAGCATTCATTAGAATAAAACTTTATTCCATTATTAAAATCAATAAACGATAACACATATATAATCATAAAATGACAAGTTAAACATTGAAATTCAGACATAAATCTTATGTTTAATCTTCTGTACAATATAATTTTCAATTAATTTTTATCAATTCTTAAAATATTGCAGCATCCGCAAAAGAGCGATTCACAATGATATTGCTTCGTACTTAACATGCTCGCGTTTTTGATGCTTTGTATATCGCTATGTTATATTTGTTTTATATTTTTAAAAAATTCATGATCTATTAGAGTTTATTTAATTTTTATTCGATCAAAATTCCAAAATTTTGACAGCGAAAAGATAAAATTTTATTTCTGTCTTCTCAATCCTAATGGATGCCGATATTAGTTAAGTTAATTTGAGCGTATGAGCGAGCATAATTTTTCTTTTTATTTTATGTTACCGTTCGAGAAATTAAAGAAAGCGCACAAAATAAAGTCAATATTCTTGCGAATTAAATCTTTGTTTCGGAACTTTCCTGCGGAGCAAGTGTATCATCTTGCTGACAGCTCTCCAAAACATTTTCAAGGGGTGTCCCCATTTCAAGACCCTCTAATTTTTTTTCTTGATCCATTTTATCCAATTCAGCTTTGCTCAAATGATAAACTATTCCAGCCCCGTATCCATCGCCCAAAACATTGATCGAGGTCCTGATTCGATCCCTTCGAACAAAAATTTCGAAAAATTTATATTGTTCCATCTTGCGCCGCGTTATTAATTTTTAAATAACAAACTTACAACATCCAGTCGACTGCAAACAACAAAGAAATATCGTTCGTTGGTAAACCCAAAGCTGTAAGCACTATTAACATCGTAATCAAAGCCGCGCTGGGAATACTTGCTGCACCTATACTTGCCAAGGTAGCTGTGAAACTACGTAGATGAAGGCGATCCATAAATAAATAATAGTCGCATACTTCTGTGGTATCGATCATACAAACCTGACCGTTATAACTTCACCTATTCCTAACGAAATTCCATTCATTTGTGCGATAAAAATCGCGGCAACCGCTTCGTAAAGAGCAGTTCCATCCATATTTACCGTAGCTCCAACTGCTACTACAAATCGTGTTACACGTGAATCGATTTTATTATTCTCTTCGAGGCATCGAAAAGTTATAGGTAAAGTTGCGGCACTGATGGCATTAAAAAAGAAAAGAAAAAAAATATTACATAATTATTACGAACGAAGTAAAAGTACTTAAAAAAAAAAAAGAAAAAAAACAAATATCAATACTACCTCGATGCTGTTCCTAACGCTGTCATCCAAGCTTGCATCATACCTCTGAAAAATACGGCAGGATTTTGTCGAGTTAAAAACCAAAATATCGTTGGCAGAGTGATTAATGCGTGAAACAATAAGCCCAATATAACTGTCACCATGTATAGCCCTAACATCTGAGCAGTTGCCGTCAAATTGTTAATCGACATTATTTTACCAGCTATCAGACACATAATTCCGAACGGAGAGTACCTGCACGGAGAGATTAAGATTAAAAAAACACGAATCCCAAAACACGAAATTAAATTATCATAATTTTGAACGCTCACCACATGATGATAATACCGACAAGTTTCATGATTATTTCGTTCAAAGCCATGAAGAAGTCGACGATTAATTTCCCTCGAGCGCCAAATTGTCCAGCAACAAGTCCAAATGTGATGCAAAACACTATCATGCCCATCACATTCATCCCATCCTTGTACACTAACGTTGCCTCTTGTATTTGATTAATTTCACTTCCTACAGCAACTTCCTTCGTCACGTAAGTAGTTTGCGCCTGTTGGAAGCACGCCTGCACCAAATTTTCCGGCACCATGTTTCTAGAAATGATATTTGCCGATAATAACCAACGCGATATCTCATATATATTTCACGTACCTAATTATATCGAGGATAGCGTCTAACGTAGAAATTTTTGTATAATCCGCCTTGTGCGCGGTTATGACAGATTTAATTCTAGGATCACCGGGATGGATTATTAATACCATTACGATCCCAACTATAGCCGCGAGAATGGTCGTTACGGTGTAATATAACAATGCTCTGTATCCCATTCTTCCTGAACCCTTAGGGTCCAATTGTGCCATTCCTAAAAAAAAAAAAAAAAAAAGAAAAGGAGAACTTAATGACCAATTGTTTACGATTCCAGTGTATGTTTACCAGAATATTGCATAATTACCGGAGATAAGCGACGAGACAATGAGCGGTAGTATGAACATCTTTAGAAGCCGCATAAGAAGTTCTCCGGGGAAACTGATAAGAGTAATGGATTGTGACGTGGGATTGGCTAATCGACCAAGAAATCCAAGAATAAGACCGACCAAGACTGCAGCGATCGTAAAGACCAAAAGCATGTTCTCCCTGAACCAATCCACCACCTACGTTCAAACGCGATACGAATGAGATATATAACGTAAAAATTGTCGAAAGAAGGAATAGATTGATAAGACTAACTCGTTGCAATCTGTCGAGCGGTGTGATCGCCTTGTGGCAAATTTTTTCTTCCTCCACAGTGGTTATCTTTTCGATCTCATCGGAGGTTGAGCTAGAAATTGCTCTAGGTTAAAAATCAATTCGCAAGAAAATGCGATGAAAATTCACAAATCTTACGTTTGGGCTTCTTTGACCTCGGAAGTGCCTCTGAGGACCGCGACGGCCCCAGATATACGTTGACCGAGAGACATCGTGGTCGATTCGATGATTACCTCAAGATTTCCTAAACAGTCTTCCTCCTTCCTTTCCGAGGAAGATCGCGTACAATTCGTACCCGTTCATACCGCGGCTTTCACCGCTGTAGCATGTTTAGTTTCAAAACTAGGCTCTTCACTCTTACGTAAATTCCCTTTGACCAAAAAAAAAAAAAAAANAAAAAAAAAAGAAACTTGGTATTCCTCTTACGTAGAACACAGGATCATTGTAAACGATAACAACGTCGTAAAACTGTTTATCAGTCGATGAAAAAAATAAAAAAGCGAATATCAACGAGGAATGAGAAACAGCGCGGTAAAACGCAGATGCGACACCTGAATATTTCGAGCTAGCTGTTGTACACGTTCAGGATCACAGCACCAATACGAGGGAATCGTATATAACAAGCTCAATGGTATTCGTAACCGTGGATCTTGGCAGGTCTTTTACGCGCAATGGACTGCCGAGAGACTATCGTATGATTGAATACCCGGGACTTGGCTAGGTATCGCGTCGTTACAATTTGCCATCACGTAGATAATATGCCCCATCCAGGAAGCTGATTAGAGCTCGTGAGGGGTCAGAGGGTGAGTACATCGTAAGAGTAAAGGGAGACAAATGGCAGAGTAAGAGAGATGGCCGGCTACAGGAAGAGGGCACTCATCACAACGGGTCGCACGGCACTGAATAAGCAGAAGGGAGACAAATATGTACCACGCGCGTATGTTTCGCAGAAATAGACCCGTCTCTATTGGATCTACGGCATCGACTAAATTGCTCTAAATGGAGAACTTGAACGATTCATCCCTTGACGTGCAACCCCCTGCCAAGTGATTAAAAATCTGTTACAATGTTACGTCTTATGAAATGTTTCGTTATTTGGTAATTATACGAGTAATTATACGAGTAATTATATATATATATTTTTTTTTTCGTAGAATAAGATGCGTTTGAAAATGATTCCTAAAAAGTCAGTTAAGAGAAAAAAGTCGTTGCACATGTTACAATTAGAAGATGGTTCCGAGTATGATTATTCCGGGTAAAGCATATCCGAAAGAAAATCGTAGTTGCAAATGTAAACGAGATGTGCCACGTGCACTAGCCAGTTGGAATAATCATTAATTTTATCGAATTAAAGACATCATAATTTACATTGTAATCATAGACTGAAGATTAAATTATAGATTATATCTATAGACATGAACGGGCCATGTGTTTAAAATTATTTTAACAAGAAATTTGAAATTCTGTTCTGGCTTGACGAATTCACGATTGACAAAATGCAGCGTTATATTGGAATTCTATTTATAAACGGATCGTACATTTCACGTTATATCCGTATTGAAATATGGTACGAAATTCGAAATTAATTAAAATATGATGTATTTTATGATCACTAACATGGGAAATACAGATCGGAATTGGAACGTTTATGATGGATTATTTTGAAAGCACATAGGATATGGACCAATTTGTAGGACCCCTTTGTATATCCGTTGGGAAGTAACCCAATTTCTCCAATAATGATGGCTATGAGTGACTATATGCAAACTAATATTGAGTTCACGGTGGATCGTACAGATATACAATACGTAAATCATTTGTCGCGTGAAAAAAATATTTAAAATTATATGATTTTTCGTTATATGATAACAGGATAAAAGGAAAAAAAATATGTTTGGGAATAAATTTTATTATTAAGAATAAAACCACGAATAATCGATAAATATGGATATTTTAAGATCAGTTATACTTTTTATTCAAAATTTATGTTTTATTTATAATTGAATAAATTACGAATTTGAAATACATTGCTGCAATTCCATACATATGTAAAATGCATTTAGAAAACAGAAATGATTTGCGAAAATTGAGAGAAATAATGTGATGTGTTGAAATAGATAACATCGATATCCATTTTAACAGACATATTTTCAAGATGGGGTGGGAGAATACGGTCCTTAAATTAAGAACTGTTGCAGACCGAATTATTTCGATTCTTCTTCGAGCCCGAGAAGTTTCATTTATCTCTCTCAAGTTTTTTCTCTTTTATCGCGACAATAGTGAAAACATGTTCAGTGAAATTATAACGAAAATATTCATATCATTGACGGTGTTTAACGTAATTTACGCCTATCAAAGAAACCCATGGTGGAACATTGAAAATTCACAAAGACAGGGGTGAGATTTGCACATAATTATACATACGTATTTTTAAATGTTGTTTGAATCTTAGAATAATTTTTATAAATCTTCGATCCGTATAGAATAATTTCATATTTTTATTTGTTGTAGACCTAATATATGTGCCGTAGAAGTGAATGACGATATAAATTATGCTTATTATACCGAGAATAAACAATGGTATCCTCGAAAAATTTGTGGAAAACCTACGTAAGCGTAATTTTATGTTACTTACGATATAGCTTCTATTCAAATACTGAAGTATTTTCGTTTGTATTATAGGTTTATAAAATACGAATGTTGCACAGGATATTATAAAGTCGCTGGCCATCCTGGATGCACAGGAGGTAATGGATACAATTTTATTAAGTCTTATATTTGTTCTCAAATAATTATGTTTTTATGGTTCGTTTCAGTAAAACCGCTGATAAATCTCGTAGAAACTACGCGTCGAGTGGGTTCAATGAAGTTCGCAAAATTGATTGAAAATTCAAATTTCGCAAAAGAATTAACGAATGGTCCACCCTTAACATTATTCGTTCCATCCGATGAAGCTCTTGAAGTATATATGTTATATTATACTATATTGTATAATTAACAATTTTTAAGTTTTACATTTTTGTTTAATTTTCAGCACTACTTAAAAGTAAAAGGTATACATCAAGAATCGTTGCACGATGGCAATAGATATATAAATTTGATCGCAAATCATATAATAGATAGACGTGTACTGTCGAATCAATGGCAAGCAAATCTTTTAATTCCATCACGATTACAAGGGAATGTTTTGAGAATTAATAAATTTCCTAGTGGAGTAAGTAATATGGATTGCTAACAATTGATTATTAATCAGACATGATAAATTGTTCAACGACTACCTTTGTTTGCGTAGATGGAAACGGTAAATTGTCATCGAATTATTCGCAAAGATCAAATTGCAAGTAATGGAGTTGTACATGTTATCGATGGTGTATTGGATCTTGCTTTGTCCGAAAATTCAGACATCATTGAACTTGTTCGAAGGACGGTAGATTTGACATATTTATAAAAGCGTTAGAAAACACAGATTTGGGGAAAAGGATTCGATACAGCAATATACCATGTACTATTTTTGCACCTACTGATGAAGCTTTCCATCACATTCCAAGGAAACAATTGACCGATATATTAGAAAATCCGATCGCATTAAATGGTACGTAATATATTTATGCATTTTCTATGATCTAATTTTGTAAAAACTTATTATTTTGTATAGCATTAATTGCCCAACATATTGTAACACACCCTGTGTGCATGCCAAACATAATTTCGGAATATCACGCAAGCACGATGGAACAACAAGAATTAAAATTAAATTGTGGCCCACATGGACCCATTGTAAATAACGCAAACATAAAAAATGAAATGTACCATGGAAAAAATGGATTACTATATGTTCTTGATCGCGTATTACTTCCGGATCGGGGTAAATAAATAATTTTCATTTTAAGAATATTTAAGAATGTTTTAAAACTTTTATATTATAATTCATATGTATTTTAGCTAAAACAATTTTGGATGTGATTAAGGAAGAAAGATTATTGACATTTTTAGAAATAATTAGAACAGCTGAACTGGAAGAAAGTTTAAGACATTTGAAACATTTCACAATATTTGCCCCTTCTGAAACAGCAATGCATTGTACGTATACGAATTTTATTATTAAATATTATTAAAAACAAGTTTAATACATAAAATTACATAAAATTTTTTATAGCCTTATCCAATCAAAAACTTATAGAATTGCAAAGAAATCAAAAGAGTGCTCGAAATTTTGTTCTTAATCATATAGTTACGGGAATATACTTTACTGATGAAATTAGTAGCAATCAAGTAAGTTATGTTATATTTATTAGGCATTAATATATTTCTGTTACAATATAACATATTTAACTTTCAAGAATTATAATTTATATTTAGATTGTTAGAACACTTGAAATGGGAGTTCCATTACGCTTTCAAGTTTATCGTTATAATTTTGGAATAGAAAATGCATTAATTATAAAAGCTAATCGAGAATGTAGTAATGGTGTTCTACATGTTATCAGTCACATCTTACATCCTGCAGAAGAATCTTTAGATTATATTTTAAAAAAAGAAGGCAATTTCAGGTAAAAATTCGTTCTTAAAAGAAAAAGAATTTGAAAAATAAGAGAAATATGAATAAATAACTGTTACAGTATTTGGTTAGATGCAATGGAAAGAATCAAAAGTGTTCAACCGCAAATATATGATCAATTCAAACGGGCAAATTCTACATGCACATATTTTGTTCCCTCGGATGAAGCATTCAAACAACTCGGGAGTGTTAAACTTCAAAAATTATTAGATGACAGAAATTATTTAACAAGGTAATATAGATTTTTTTTATAGATAAATTAACTAAAAAATAATTTTTTCATTTACTTTTAGACACTACAAAATCATATTGTGGATAATATGTTACTTGCTGAAAGTTTTATGCCCGATTTACAATATACTGTGAGAACTAAAGGAAATCCGATAAATATTATAAGAAAAAATAATAAAATTTTGGTAGCTAAGTTTTTCATAATTTAATGAAAATAAAATATCATATTATGATTCTGATGATTAATTTAAAAAAATATAATTTTTTAGGTAAATGATGCTACTCTTGTAAAAAGTGATATTTTAAACAAAGCTGGAATTGCACATGAAATAAATTCTGTATTACTACCGGATCAATGTCCACATGGTTATAAAAGAACATATGATGGAATTATAAGAAAAATGTGTCTTTAAAGCAAATAATTAGACACATTTATATTTTGCATTATTTATTATTATATATATATATATATATATATATATAATTAAAAAAATTAAAAAAAGTTATATATACTATATATACATTATGTACGTTACAATAAATCTAAATCTCTAAAAATTAATAATAATATAGATTTATTGTAATTAAAAAAATAAAACATGTTTAAAATTTATATAGTATTCCTAATATTAAAATTTTTTTTTAATCGTATTAAAAAATATAGTTCCCTAATATGATTATTAGATTTATATGGTTGGCTACACTTATAATACAGAACAATTCGTATAAATATTTACCGGCATTAATATATATATATTTGTATCATATTATGATTTCTGAATCGAAGGAAGAACG